CGTGCCCCGGCGGCGTGGCGGCAGCAGAAGGCCCCATTAGCTTCAGGTGCTTCAGGTTAAGAACAGTTTCAGGTTACGAACGGACCTCCGGAATGAATTAAGTATTTAACCCGAGGTACCACTGTACTGTATCTACAAACTGAATCACAAGAAGGAGAATAGCATAGATAGCTGTTTCTTGCCGTGCAGATGCAAGAAAGAGTGTGATCCACACAATATTCAACATTCCCATTGCCCAAGATAAGACTCACACAACATACTTCCTTTGGTGTGATAGAATCCACAGGTGTTTAAAAAAATATTTTTAGTAGAGTATATTATTTTAACTTCCCTTGTGCAACGTCTCAACCCTTGCACAGTCAAGAGTTTGCTAGACCCTTAAAAATGTCGTATAAACACCAACAATTAGGAAACACTTGCCTGCGAGCGCTCCAGTTGGAGAACAGCCTTTTCCAAAAGTGCCATGGGCTTTGAAAACACTCAAACTCAGGATGCAAGGGAGAAACGTGCTAAGAGGAAGGCACGCTTGGCAAATCCACACCGTGATCAACTCCCGCCCGGAAACCAATGTCCCCACTGTGGAAGGACGTGTGGATCCAGAATTGGCCTCCACAGTCACTTACAGACTCATTGTTAAAAACCGTGTTTATGGAAGGCGATCTTACTCAGCTACGGTGATCGCCAAAGAAGAAGAGACCCTGGAAAATCCAGGAAAAGGTGAACCAGGCCGTGGAGACTCCTGACTTGGGAAAGATCTAACGATTCTAACCATTCTGCAATACCAGTTCCACACACCATTACACATAGAAAGCATCAAGCAGAACTTCAACAATAGTGTCCATATGCTTATATTGTAGCAGGAAGTGGTAATGTGATTGAATCACCATGAGCAAGCAAACAACTGCAAATAGAACCTGGAGGAAGCAAGAAGCAGCATTACGTTTGTAATCTGATCAGCTGGATAACCAGCACGACTAAGTCATGGCGGCACCTGATGATCTATAATAAATCACATTAAGCAGCCCAAGGGCAGTTCTTACCAATGTACTTACGGTGCTAAGCCCTTTGGCCTAATTAGAAGACACACAACAGCTACAGGATGCAACATTTTATTTATTTCATCAGCTTGGTATATTAAGAGCAAGCCGAGTTATGGGATAAATCTTCAACACAGATTTCCAAGGTCACCAAACAAGATGAATATAGAAATGGCAGAAAATTTCATTTTAACTGGGATTGGAGTTTGAAGGGACAAGAGGTCATGTTGTTCAGCAATGGAATTGTACATTTCTATTCATTTAAAGAATTCGGTTTTATAGCTTTGTTTGGATTGCCATGTTCAAAAATTCTGATTTGTATTCAAAGCAAACAAAAGGAAAAATCACCTAAACCAATGTTTCCCAAACTTGGATCTCCAGCTGTTTTCAGACTACAATTCTCATCATTCCTGATCACAGGTCTTGCTAGCTAGGGATGACGGGAGTTGGTGGTGAAAAGAAGGGTGAGATGGTTTACTTGGAAATTGCATGCCTATCCTGAAAAGTGTAGATCTGAAGAACTGTAAATAAAGAGCTGGATTATTTAAAGAACCAAAACTAAAGATCACATCCCACCAACCCATGATTTTTTAAAACACAGATCGGGAGACATACATCAACACAGCATTGATTTCTAGATGGAAAACCAGTGCTTTAGCCTTAATATGGTTAACTCCCGCAGATGATATTTGACATAAGCCAGTTTATTAAAATTGTGAGTACAGTGGACCCTCCAGATATGAACTTAATTCATTCCAGGGGTCAGTTCGCACCCCGAAAATTATGTAAATAGAGGCGTGCTTCTGCACATACACACACGGCAAAACCTGGACATAAACACTTCCGGGTTTGCCATGGCCGTAACCCGAAGATTCTGTATCCAGAGGGATACGTAAGTAGAGGTCAGACTGTACTTGTAAATACAAAATTCCTGAAAAAGACGCTCTCAAATATACAGCACAAATAAACCAAAGTTTGGCAATATTTTTTTGATCTGGAAAATGTTTCTGAAATGTCATTAAAGTTGCGGGTAATGCTCCTATTTCCTGTAGCCACGTACGAAGGAAAAGACATTGGGGACTGATTCTAATGACTGACGTAAGAGAAGTTGCTAGAAGGGCTGATTTTAAACCTTGTGTGCACAACCTGCAGGATGCGTAAGGCCCTTCCAAGCCGACATCACTGATTTCTGCTGCCTGGGGAGACCCTACGCCCTCATTTTTTGCCACCAAACAATGCTGCCTGTGATGGGAGGAAGGACCGCAGTTTCCCACCCTCAACACAAACCTTTTTGACGCCCTGACCTCTCTTGCCATTTGACTCCCTGGGCTCGTGCACAAAAGAAGTTAAAGCAAACGCGATTTGGTGAATGCAACCTGCAGGAATGGGTAACAGCATCCTCCGACTTACCCGTAGCTTGGCAGAAGAGGAAGAAAGTGGTCTGGGCACCCACGCGCCGGATCTGGTCACTTAGGAACGGTGGCATCAAGGTGACTGTGGCAAAATCTGCGCTAGACCAAACATCGGGCTGGGGACTGATGGATGGAGGACGCGAGTCACTTTCCATACAGGACAAAGATGAGGAACCAGTAGGAGGGAAAGTTATGGGAGATGAAGCTGTGGCAGAGGAGGACAGAACAGGAAAAAGAAGAAGAAAAGGGCACTAAGGAAAAAAGTTCTAAGAACATGCCAAAGAAATAGTTTGCAAAGGAGGGGGGAAATGAGCAGTGAACATTTAATCAAAAGAAAGTTCCTTCTTATTTCTGTTTTGAAATACAGGAAATCACACCTGTTCAAATCTTACAGCGAGAAAACCCTCTAAAGCTTCTGGTTTTTTTAAAGACAAGTTATTATTGCTCAAGGACAAGGATGAAATACAATGAACTTCAATATTTATTTCCTTATTTTTTTCATATATACAGAATCAAAAATAGAAAAATAAAAGCAAAAATGAACCATACAAAATCTAGAAACAGTTTACACTAAGACCATCTAAGGTGTGTGCTGGGGAAATATTTCAACAGGAACAAAGAAAAGAAAAGGACTTTGGGACATGTTGCCTACTCAGTCGTCTCTATTTCTAACCATATTTACATGAGACACAAAAGACAGCGAGAGACAAGGATTTTTTAAAAAACTGTACAGCGCAAAGGAGTTTTACAGACAAATAGTGCCGTTGTTGAGTCCCAGGAGAGATAAAGTGGTCGGCCCTTTGGGCAGTTTTCTGCTCTTCTCTGGTTTCTTTTCTCCAGTTGCCTTTTTGGAAAACATTGGTGGAAGTTGTGAAGAAACAGTGAAAATATTTGGCAAAGTTGATTATGGGGGTGAGAGAGGCTGGAGCCCTATTGCTTCCCAAACTGTGGGGAAAAGTTACAAAATGCATGACATCCTCAACAGTCTCTTTTGAGAAGTCCATCGCATGTTTGCCAAGGTCCGCATTGTATCTCTGAAACAGAAGCCTCTCACACTGCTGCGGTTCAGTGACTACTGTTTGTCCACAATAATCCACTTTTTAAAACCTTAAAACAATTCCATAAAATCAGTTAATGTGGCAGTGTCCAACTACATCTTTTTAACATCTTTTTTCTAAAGCTAAACTCCCCACAACCCAAAAATGAACATTAAGCTCTCAAAATGATTACCATATCAACGCCTCTAAAAAAAAAAAAAAAATGGGGGGGGGGAGACAATTAACCAAAGCTTATCCCTGAGAACCTTATGCAACTCTAGAATACATCATATTCTAAAAAGGTACACAAACAGTTTTGGAAAGATCCAACATTTCTTTCACCAGCTAAAACTACCAGACAAATGCATTAAAATCACTAGATGCAAAGAAATGTCCCAATCTGGACAAAAAGGCTATTATTTACCAATCTGATAAACTAAACATCATTTCCAATTTGGAATTAAACTGAAATTAGATTTTTAATGGCAGTTAAATACGTGCAGGCAGGAGCTACTGAAATCCTTTTTGGTATGACTCTGCAACAAGAGTTAATTTTACCTTCTATGAAAAAGAGGGATTAATCAAAATAGTCAGTATGCGCAAGTGTTAAATTATCCTTGGCTGGGGAGCAGGGGGAGGGCAGCTTAGAAGCTCACCGTGTGAAACCGTAACTGGCCATTTAAAATAAAGAAGAAACACATAAGAAATAAGTGTGTAACAGAACCGTTTTCAGAAAATGCGAGATCTCTCTCTGCTCTATCCAGGTGTGAAATGACAATGTGTCACTTCAAAAAAGCTGAGAACACGTAGCCCTTTCTGGCCCAGTTATCACATCTAAAATGTTTTGTGTTCGGAAACAAACGGTTCAGAATGACAGTACTTTCATTAGGGGAGGTGGGGTTTTTCTCCTTTAATCCCCCTCAGCATCCGAGTCAGCAAATTTCAGTTCGCACTTGACATCAAAAGGTTTGTCCTTGACTTCCTTGTAAGACTGCGAATGGTCCTCATCGTGTTGAACATGGCCGTTTCCATAGTCGGCTTCAGTCTCGTATCCCGTGTCATGTGCCGGTTTTGGGTGCTCCCCGCTTTGGGTCAGGAGACTGCCTGGCTCCACCAGGGTCTCCTTCACGCTTTGCTCACAGTCAGAGAAATCGGCCTTGGGCTTCTTCTTCCCAAGCAACATAGCGGAACGAAACTTCAGGCACTGGTCCGGCAGAAACCCTTTGTAACAGTTGTAGGCAAACAGGCACAGGAAGAGCACGAAAAAGAAGAGGAAGAGGAACATCAAGAGGGAGTTATCGTTGGACCTCAGAAACATGGTCTTTGCAGAGACCTCGGGAGGAGAGTTCAAGAGCTCGACGTCAGGTGCGGTGCTCATGAGGGTGGGGACAATGGGATTCGTCACTATCCTGGACGTTGTGACTGGTACCACCGGGGAGGTGGACATGTGAGCGGCCGAGTCTTGGATTGCGACAGTTGGCATTTTGGCTGCTTCCGCGTTGCGTTCCGTCGGTGTGGTTGGCTGGGTGGGGCTCAGAGTGGTGTGCTGGACTTTCCTCAGTTCCAAAACATGCTTCGCCAACACTTGCGAGAACTTCTGGTTCTTCACTTTTTCTTCCGACAGGCACTGATAGACGCCGCTGTCGCCCTCGGACAAATTGAAGATCAGCAGCGCCTTCTCCAGCAGCCGGTACTTCGGACTTTCCACCTTGAGCACATCGTCCTTGAATTTCCAAACCACCTGGGCCAGGTTGGACTTCTGAGAGCATTTTAGCTCTGCAGTGCTGCCATGCTTGAAAGTGTGCTGCAGATAATGCTCTCTTACTTTATCTGGAACAGCAAAATAAATGTAAACGAGAACAGAAATGAGTTTTCTTTTCGGTGTGGGGAGCAGGCCAATTCAGCCATGCAGGCATATACTGGAAAAAAACTACCAGCTCACAACACGTGTCACGCTAGCCTGAAACAACAACACTTACATACTCGTCACAGGGTACAGCTTACAATGGCTGTGTATTTGTCTAGGATAAAGTGGTGGCATTCCTAAGTATCTCTGGAACTGCTTGCTAAACTGCTGTATTCCAAAGATGGAGAAATCTGTGCAATTAGCGTATGATTTGTGTACGGGGATAAGGGGAGTAACACATGAATGCTTCTCTAAGCCTTAAGTGTTAAAAGATGATGTTCAGTCATCACAGGAACAAAGACTGCGTACACAGGCTCATCCCAATAAAATGAGCACACATGAAATTGCCAGGGGAAAAAACCCAAACCCAGAAAGTGCAAAACCTCAAAAAAGGAATGATCTGAAGAGTCATAAACATTGCTGAAATGTTTAAGTGCAACTACCTTTTATCTGAAATACTGCTTTGCGTTTAAATTCTTTTGCAAGAAAACACAACCGCCTGGTTCACACAACACAGTAAGCCAAACTATGGCTTTCTGAGACCATAGTATCTTCCGAGTCTGGCAGGGTTCCATGTGTGCAATAGAGATTGCCAAACAGAGTTTTCAGTAACTCACACATGGTGGACAAAGCCAGAAAGTATTTGACCATAAGAAGCTGTGAGTCTATGAAGCTTTGGATCATGTGCCCAATACAAAGAAAATACTTGTGAGTTCTACTATACCAGGCCTTTTTGGTGGTGGCTCCCCACATATGAAATGTTCTCCCCAGGGAAGCATGCCTAGCACTATCACTGGCTACTTTTAGGCACCAGGCAAAAAACCTTTACAGGCTTTTGGTCTTTAGATAGTGTGGGTCTCTTTTAGTAGACGTCAATGCCTTTTTATGTATATCACTCCTTTTAGCTTTTATTTGGTTTAACTCTGTACTGGTTTCAATTTTCATATTCTAGGTTGCTTTTCAGCTTTCTCTTTTGTTAAAAAAACTGACTAACAGCCCAATAAATAAATAAATAAAACAGAATCTCTATTCAACGTATTCACACCATATTTTTTTCATTAATATGGCAGCAATAGTAACAGCAACTCTTTGCAGAAAATGTTCTGTTATGGCAAGAAATACCGCGTGTTGCAGCCAAACTGCTGACTGAGGTTGGTTACGGGGAACACAGTTACTCCCTCGTTTAAAACAACTTCACCGGATACTGGTCCATTTCCAGGCACAATTCAAATTGCTGGTTATGTGTGAACCTGCCTGGGTGCTGAGACCCTTGGGTGAGTGCCTTCTCTTGGTCCCATCAACATCACACCTAGTGGTAACACAAGAGATAGCCTTTTCTGTGTCTCAAGAGAAGCTGGACTGTCTCTTTTCTGCCAGTTTTCTTTCTGTCCTATTCAGACAGGCCTTTGGAAAGCAAAGAGCAAGTGATACTGATCAGCGGGCGTGCTGTCAGCACAAACTGTTTTAACTGCTGATTCTAACTGTGCCCTGATGTGTTTAAATTAATGTTTCTATTCTATAATGTTTTTAAATGTAAGCCACCTTGAATCCAACTTGGGAGAAAGGTGGGATATCAATATGTTGATGATGATGATACTCAGTGGCTTGAGGCATCATCTCTGGGCATGCAAAACTTGTCCTTTTGGAAGGCACACCCAAAAGTATTTTCAGCCAGAAACATTACATTAGACATTAATATGGTGGTACCTTGGTTTTCGAACGTAATCCGTTCCAGAAGACCATTCGAGTTCTGAAACGTTCGAAAACCGAAAACTCAATACAGAAAACTCAATGCGGAAGCAGTGTGGCATGTTTGACTTCCGAGGCGTGTTCGAAAACTGAAGCATTTACTTCCGTGTTTACGGCGTTCGAAAACCGAAACGTTCGTCAACGGAGATGTTCGAAAACCAAGGTACCACTGTATTGATTTCATAAACCCCATGACAATTCAAGGGTATGAAAGGCAATTTCCTCAAGTAATTACAATAACAGCTCACAGAGGGGTCACTAAGATGTGCTCTCAGAGGCCTTCTCTGAGTTCTGGCCCCCTGCCCCTCCGTCCCTCTCCTGAGAGAAGCCTCCTTCAGCCAACAGAAGACTTTTTTGAAGCCTAATTGGGGCATGGAGGAAAGGTTACAGCTAGGGAACAGTTGTGGCACATGTGAGGGGGCCACAGACTGCGAATTGGCCCTATTTTGGGGTGGAGGGGGAAAGGAAAGTAAAAACAAGCCAAAAATAAAAAGGTGTGGGTTTTTTTATTGTAACAAAAAGCTACACATTAAATAAAAGTGTTAAGATATCGCACCAAGCAATTCTGTGGAGGAGCTCAGCCCAAATGTTTATTATACTTTATTATTTCCCCACCTCTTTTGGAAAGAAAGAAACGCTTACCAGCAGTACAAGAAGAAGCATCGCCACTAATATTCTGAATCCAGTCCCTACAAAAGTAAAGAGACAGTCAGAGAGTCAATACATTTACCATCGTCTGCCCACCCTACCCTCTGGGTGTAAATCTCTTCCCACCTGCAAATCTGTTATCTGCCTCCCTCCAAATGCCTGGAAAGGCGGCACGGGTAGGATTTGATAATATCCAAACAAGTGACGCAGAAGAGAGGGAGAGGAAGGAGCGCAGAAGCCGTCGGATCACCTTTTTGCTGAAGGGCAGCATTCCACAAAGTGACAAACAGACCCTTTATTTAAATAAACAAGTTGTGTGTGTTTGCAACAGTTTGGAACACAGTTTGGGAAAGCCGCTGTTTGGGAACCCTTTTGGAAAAACACTTCTCAGACATGGCAGTGATTTTGAGTCTGCTGACTCCAAATCTGTGCCGAAGCCAGGTAGCTTTCTTTACAGACCTTTAAATGGGAAAAATCATGTAAAATATCTGCAATCTTCTAATACCTTTCTCCTATAGTGTCTGTGCTTGGGATATCTGGTTTTAATTGTGCCCATGGAGGCAAAAGAAAGATCTAGAAAAAGAACAGCCCACAATTTTTTTCAGGCTAACAGCTGCTGTGGATTTGGCAGTGAAATGTTTCATAGGGGAAGTCAGAACCACGCGTGTTATGTCTTGACGTCCCGATATTATGTGTGTGAGCATTGTGCTTCCCTTCCCTAAGCTGGGCAGAAGCTTTCTAGACTCTGAGAAGGAGGCGCCAGACTTTAATACTTCAATACTCCAATTTACCAGGAACATTCAGGGGACTAGACTAGTCCCCTAGTAGTAGTAGTAGTAGTAATTTATTTATTCCCTGCCCATCTGGCTGGGTTTCCCCAGCCACTCTGGGCAGCTCCCAACAGAATACTAAAAACACGATAAAACATCAAACTTTAAAAACTTCCCTAAACAGGGCTGCCTTCAGAGGTCTTCTAAAAGTCAGAAAGTTGTTTATTTCCCTGACATCAGATGGGAGGGCGTTCCACAGGGAGGGCATCACCACCGAGAAGGCCCTCTGCCTGGTTCCCTGAAACCTCACTTCTCGCAATGAGGGAACCGCCAGAAGGCCCTCGGAGCTGGACCTCAGTGTCTGGGCTGGACGAAGGGGGTGGAGATGCTCCTTCAGGTCTACTGGGCCGAGGCTGTTTAGGGCTTTAAAGGTCAGCACCAACACTTTGAACTGTGCTCGGAAACGTACTGGGAGCCAATGAAGGTCTTTCAGGACCAGTGTTACATGGTCTCGGCAACCACTTCCAGTCCACTGACCGCACACCACTGGGTAGGGAGGGATAACGTGGTGCTGCTGACAGCCTGCTTGCTGCAATGGGAAACGGACCCGTCCCACCTAATTGGTAAGCCAGAGAGGAGTGGTGGAAAGTAGGCAGTGATCTAACTTGCTAATACTGTGTACTGCAGCTGTAAGCCTAGCGTGCTATTGGTAGGCAGCTCCTGTAGTGGCCTGGTATTCGTGCCCAGCTTCCTGAGGATGCTTAAGGAGATTATCTCAAGGGGATTTGTAGGGAGCCCTGGAATAACATTATGAACAGCAGAAATGGGCCCTGAGATCATCAGTTGGGGTGCTTCCCCAAATTCCTTCTCAGAGATACTTTTGTTCTGTTTGAGACGTCCGGGTAGAGGGCAGTATATACCGTATTTTTCGCTCCACAAGACACACTTTTTTCCTCCTAAAAGGTATGGGGAAATGTCTGTGTGTCTTATGAAGCGAATGCTGCACGGAGGAGGGCTTGCTTTAAAGCAGCAAAGCGGGACAGGAGCCGCTTACACGAGTGTAACGCAAGCACAGTGGGAGCCGTGTAATCCCTCTGCCCCCACGCTCGGCCGCCCCACTGGGATGGGTGCGCGCACGTGTATACCACCCCCTTAGGATGACGCTCGCGTTGGCGACGTCCCACAGGTGACATGCCGCCACACAAGACCCTCCCTCTGCCACTGGTCTTGCCAGGACAGTAGTGCCTTCCTTTGCAGAAATGTGAAATTTGAAGGGGCGGCTGTGGTTTGGTCCTTGTGTTGTGTACAAAGGTGTGAATTAAGTAGGTGTGACTTTAAATGGGAATTGAATCAGATTTCTCCCTCATATGAAAGCCCCCAGAATTCTGCAATGAACAAAAAGGAAGATAGTCCCACTTCTTTTGGCTTTATTAAAATAATTGTGTAGGGCCAAACCATACAGTCCTTAGAACTAAGGGACTCATTGTGGGAAGCTCATATATTTCCATTGTCTGCCCCCCTTACTAGGGGATAAAGTCTCTCTTTGATAGTGATGATGGTTCTTAATGCCACTTTTGACTGCTGTTCACTTTACATGGTTGAAATATTATTCTGATATACCAGTAGTTTAGTCAATAGTTTAGTAGAACATTTGATTCAGAATATTTTTTTTCTTGTTTTCCTCCTCTAAAAATTAGGTGAATTATGGAGCGAAAAATACGGTAAATTCAATAAAAATTAATAATTAATAAAATACAGGCAGTGGTGGTGAAGAAGAACAGGCCTTCCAGCAGTGGGCTGTGCTCCTCAGAGAGGCTATCTGGTGCCTACTTCAATGTCCTTTGGGTGCCAAATACCTTTTTCGTTTCCCCAGGCTTTGAAAAAGTGAAGCCATTGCTCTTAACAGCTATGGGCGTCCCTTTTAAAACCCGGCTGCAGACTGGAGCAAAATGGCCGCCATGCTGGTCCACGCTCCCAGTAAACCCACACTCAGCTGCCAGGCTAGAGAGTAGGGTGCCCCTATAGACAATGTGGCCGGCCAACAAGTCTGCATTCCCACCATTTTCATCATCAGCCTCTTCCCACCGTTTCCCCTGGGGCCAGACAAAATGGGCGCTCCCATCTGGGAGAAGCTGTCATTATCCTTGTTTTGCTTTATGGGATGCCACCCGGAGTGTTTTACCAAGTACAGCTTAAAAACCATGAAATAAATATATAAAAGCAATACGGAAGATGCGGTAAACAATGAATTACGAAGATAGTTATCTGTTGCAATACCGGTATGCTCTGTCAATGACAAAATATCTGTAAACTATAGAGCTTCTGGTTGTTGTTGTTTTTTTGAAAACAGTAAGGCAGGTTCGCTGGAAGATGCACAGCTGGATATGCATCTAGCCAGGGGTGTCCTGACTTGGGCGATTTGTTCTTTCAGAGCCTATGTTCGTGAACTTCTTTTCTGACACTTATAGTCCACCAGTCTTCCAGGCCTGCTACATTTCTTACATTTATATTCTAGGCCTGCTTAGCTTCAGCAAAGAACCCTTCATGGGACCATGTGTTTTTCATACGTAAAGTAAAAAAATGTGTAGGTTCTGTTGGTATACAGTAATTATTAGTTGATTTTGAAAGTCAACTGAAAGTTGCAGCGTGTGGGCTGTGCATTCTCTGTGCTGCCTTTTAAGTAAAAGTCCATGCCCCCAAAAGCCTGAACTCTGCACGAATCTATTTTGCATTATTTACTCTGCCCCTCTTGATTATGCTAAGTGGCAAAGAACTCTGCCCTCCATGGTTCAGTAGGAACTTTTTCAGAAATCACTTCTCCTTCTCCCCACAGATTTTTGAGATTTCACCAAAGATTGCCCACACACTAGAAATGTCGTGCGGTACCTGTTTAGAACAAGAAAGATGACTTATGAAAATCCTGTGCATGTTTACTTCAATGATAGTTCCACTGAGTTCAAAGGATCTTATTCCCAAGTAAACATGAACAGGATTGCAAGAAGAACAAGGAAAGCTGCAGAACATTCTTCTCAGGGTGCTGCATTTTGTACCAATTTCTGCCTACAGTGTGCTCTTGCAATTATAGAATACACAGAGAGCGAGAGAGAGAGGGAGAGTTTTGCATTCCTTAGTTGACCCACATAAATATATACATTTCCTCTACTTTGCAATACATCGGTGATACAGTGGTACCTCTGGTTGCGAACGGGATCCATTCCAGAGGCCTGTTTGCAACATGAAAAGAACGCAAACCACAGCGGCGCATCTGCGCATGCGCAGGTTGCAATTCGCCACGTCTGCGCATGACGTCATTTTGTGCATTTGCACCTGCGGCAAAACCCGGAAGTAACCCTTTCTGGTACTTCCAGGTCGCTGCGGGACGTAACCCAAAAGAATGTAACATGAAGCGGACATAACATGAGGTATGACTGTAATTAGCAAACATCTAAGTGCTTTTACCTTTCGATCTCCCTCTCTTTGAAGATATCGACACAGAGTGAGGCATGGGGATTCCAAGCACAGTACGGATCTCTTGCCAGGACACAGTCCACACAGCTGGTGTATTTGTCACAAAATGCAACAGGAGACTGGACTACTCCAGCGTTGGACCCGGCATAGAGATATTGCTTGCCCTGCAGAAAGAACATGGGGGGAAAGTTACAACTTACTTTAGCATCTCGCAGGAACAGTGCCTTTGGGACAGTCCAGGACAGGCTACAAAACCCCAGCAGAAATGACTGAATTCAACAGCTGCTTTCCCTTCACTCCACCTCAATGGCACAGTTGGGTATTCTTACTGTTCTGGTATCTCCCCCCCCCGGCCCAAATTCTTACTCAGTCCTACCTTTTTCGAAGAAAGTAGCAGAGTCTGAATGGGCTCAAAGTTTGGGAAGAGCTGCGTTTCTTCAATGATATGCATTCCGTTTTCGTAGCCAATGGCTTTGTGAAGGGCTCCTCGGTCTGAAACAAAAGGGCCATACTTTGGTATATGTAAAAATCAAAATACAACACCAACACACACAGACTACAGTCTGATGTTTTCACCCTAAGGCCCCTGCTTCCTTCCCCTCGTGCCTTTCATTGTGTGTTTTACTACACAGCTACCCAACCTTGAGCATTTTCATTCTCTATCCAACTTTCATTTCATCCTTTAATTCCATTTCTTCTCCTAAACTGCAGTCGTTTCACCCCTTCTGAGCAGTTTGCTACCAGGACATGAGCTGGATTCTTACACTTTGGCTGTAAACTTCTTCTTCCTCTTCTTTTTAGTTAAACACCACCCTTTTTTAGACTAACCTTGGAATCCAGCGACGTTTAAGGTACAAGCTCCCTCAGCCCCAGAGAGCATGGGAAACAGCAAACCTAGGCGCTGTGGTCCATAAATATATGGGGGCCCAAGGCTTCGGAACATTATGGACTACAGTGGTGCCCCGCAAGACGAATGCCTCGCAAGACGAAAAACCCGCAAGACGAAAGGGTTTTCCGTCGCGGAGGCGCTTCGCAAGACAAAGTTCCCTGTGGGCTTGCTTCGCAAGACGAAAACGTCTTGCGAGTCTCGCCATTTTTTTCGCTCCCCCCCCCCTTTTTCAAAGCTGCTAAGCTGTTAATAGCCTTTTAACAGCTTAGCCGCTAAGCCGCTAAGCCGCTAATAGCGCTAAATCGCTAATAGCGCTAATCCGCTTAGCCGCCAATGGGGTTGCTTCGCAAGACGAAAAAACCGCTAGACGAAGAGAATCACGGAACGGATTCTTTTCGTCTTGCGAGGCACCACTGTACTCAAAGGGTAGACAAGCTAAGAGTGATGCATAAATGTTCGCCCGAGAGATGTCATACTTGGGTGAGGAAATTATTCTTCAACTTGTTCTTTAATCAACATAATGTTAAATGATTTCATTACAATGCTGGTCTGATAGAGTCATTTATTTATTTTTAAAAGTACAATCCACCTTTGCTTGGAAAGAAAAATTAAGCCAACTAACAACTGGCAATTAAACAATTGCTTTAAAAGGGGGGGGAAATCACAGAAACAATTACTACACAATTAAAAAAACCACATGCAAACAAAACTAAGGTAGCAACACTAAGCAGCCATTACCAAAATCTTTACCACATAAAAAGTGAGCAATTCTGAGGGAATTTCACAACAGTGGTGCCATGACTGAAAAGGCCTTTTCTCTTTGTATCCAAGCTGCTGAAGCTCAGAGATCTGGGTGTAGAGGAAGGTTATATGGGAAGAGGCAGTCATAAACGTATCGAAGTCCTGGGCCATTTCGGAGCCTCAAAGGTTTAAAATGCAGGACTCTGATTTGCAAATGCCGTATTTTTCGCCCATAGGACGCACTTTCCCCCTCCAAAAATGAAGGGGAAATGTGTGTGCGTCCTATGGGGCGAATGCAGGCTTTCGCTGAAGCCTGGAGAGCGAGGGGGGTCGGTGCGCACCGACCCCTCTCGCTCTCCAGGCCTCAGGAAGCTATCCGCTAGCCGTGGGAGACTTGCCGGCACCCAGAAGCTTGGGCGCGCTGAGCTCAGCATGCCCCAAGCTTGGGGGCTTCGCGCAGCGCTCCGCTAGCCCCGCACCTGGGGGAAATAATTCCCCCCTTTATTTCCCCCCCAAAAAACTAGGTGCGTCCTATGGGCCGGTGCGTCCTATGGGCGCGAAAAATACGGCATTGCAAATCAGAGTCCTGCATTTTAAACCTTTGAGGCTCCGAAATGGCCCAGGACTTCGATACGTTTATGACTGCCTCTTCCCATATAAACCTTCCTCTACACCCAGATCTCTGAGCTTCAGCAGCTTGGATACAAGAGAAAAGGCCTTTTCAGTCATGGCACCACTGTTGTGAAATTCCCTCAGAATTGCTCACTTTTTATGTGGTAAAGATTTTGGTAATGGCTGCTTAGTGTTGCTACCTTAGTTTTGTTTGCATGTGGTTTTGTTTAATTGTGTAGAATTGTTTCTGTGATTTCCCCCCCCCTTTTAAAGCAATTGTTTAATTGCCAGTTGTTAGTTGGCTTAATTTTTTTTCCAAGCAAAGGTGGATTGTACTTTTAAAAATAAATAAATGACTCTATCAGACCAGCATTGTAATGAAATCATTTAACATTATGTTGATTAAAGAACAAGTTGAAGAATAATTTCCTCACCCAAGTATGACATCTCTCGGGCGAACATTTATGCATCACTCTTAGCTTGTCTACCCTTTGAGTACAGTGGTGCCTCGCAAGACGAAAAGAATCCGTTCCGTGATTCTCTTCGTCTAGCGGTTTTTTCGTCTTGCGAAGCAACCCCATTGGCGGCTAAGCGGATTAGCGCTATTAGCGATTTAGCGCTATTAGCGGCTTAGCAGGCTTAGCGGCTAAGCTGTTAAAAGGCTATTAACAGCTTAGCAGCTTTGAAAAAGGGGGGGGGGAGCGAAAAAAATGGCGAGACTCGCAAACGTTTTCGTCTTGCGAAGCAAGCCCACAGGGAACTTTCGTCTTGCGAAGCGCCTCCGCGACGGAAAACCCTTTCGTCTTGCGGTTTTTCGTCTTGCGAGGCATTCGTCTTGCGGGGCACCACTGTAGTCCATAATGTTCCGAAGCCTTGGGCCCCCATATATTTATGGACCACAGCGCCTAGGTTTGCTGTTTGCCATGCTCTCTGGGGCTGAGGGAGCTTGTACCTTAAACGTCGCTGGATTCCAAGGTTAGTCTAAAAAAGGGTGGTTTAACTAAAAAGAAGAGGAAGAAGAAGTTTACAGCCAAGTGTAAGAATCCAGCTCATGTCCTGGTAGCAAACTGCTCAGAAGGGGTGAAACGACTGCAGTTTAGGAGAAGAAATGGAAT